TAAAAAATTGGATGTTTATATAGAAAAAACTAATTTGTGTATGTAATTAGATTTATCTCTCTATTGTCTTTTTGACATTTTCCACATCTTTTATCTTTTTCTATAAACCTGCTTTATCACAGACTAAAAGCTGTAATTTAAAGTTCCCTTCCAATAATGTTTATTTCTCTTGTAGCTCCTGATGTTTTACTTTTTGGTGCATAGAAAGTCATAACTATTACATATTTATTGTAAATAGTATCCTATAACATTATAAAGCTTTTGCATTTAACATTTTTTGACTGAATTTCCATTCTGACTGAAATTCAGCGTGTTTGTTTGCTTGTTTGTTTATATTTACCTGTTATTTATTTAACCACCATTTAATTTTCAATCTTTCTGAATCACCTGATTGTAGATGGGTTTCTTGTATGCCACATGGAGTTGTATTCTGCTCTTTGATCCAACCTGACTCGTGTTCTTTTAACGAAGAAGTTAGAACATTTACCTTTTTAAAATAGATAAAATTGTGTGTATTTATCACATACAGCGTGATGTTTTGAAGTACATTTACAATGTAGAATGGCTAAATCTAGCTAGTTAACAAATACATTGCCTCACATGGGTGTCATTTAATACACAGTCCCCCCTTATTCTCAGGGAATATATTCTAAGACTCCAGTAGATACCTGAAATCACAGATAGTACCAAACCCTATTTGCCATCAACCGGAATACGATTTTCTCTGTTCATATCTTCCACATGCTATTCTGTGAAATTGTGAGTCCCCTAGCCTAAATTTTCCTGTCAAATTTCCTTATTAGCTCACAATGAGCCCTCTGTCCATGGCCCTTGCATTTTAGTCATGGTTCTCCAGAGAGAAAAAATCAACTGGATTTGATAGCTCAGAGATATAAATGTGGATTAGGTAGACAGATAGATAGATAGGAGGGGATTTATTAGGAAAAATGACTCAAATGATTATGGAGGCTGAAAATTTCTATGACAAGCTGTCTGCAAACTGGAGATTCTGAGATGCCAGCAGTGTGGATCAGTCCACGTGTGAAAACCTCAGAACTACGGGAGCCAATGGGGTAACTCTCAGTCCAAACCCAAAGACCTGAGAATCCAGGGACCACTGGTGTTAGTCTTGGAGTCCCAAAGCCAAAGAGACTGGAGTTCTGATGTCCAAGGACTGGAGAACAGTTTCCCAGCTCCGAGAGAGAGAGGAAACCCTTTTCTCTGCATTTTCTGTTCTATCTGGGCCCCCAGCCGATTAGATAATGCCCACTCACATTGAGGGCAGGTTTCCTCCACTCAGTCCACTAACTCACATGCCAACCTCCTCTGGAAACACCCTCACGCTCACACACCCAGCAGTTCCCTAGGTGTTCCTTTATTCAGTCAAGTTAACACCTAAAATTAACGAGTAGAGCCCTATTTGAGTTGCACTTTGTGTCCTCTCAGACAATCTGTTCTTTGCATGGTTTCCAATAACCCACTACCAGAGCAAGAGGGGTCATTTCAAATCATAAGAAAATGAGAGCTTCAATTACCAGAAGTCCTTGTGCTAAAAGTGCAGAGACAGCTCTAATGTGGGAGATTTGGCAATATTAATCACTCACTCCCGCTTTCCTGTGGGTCTGATTAGTGAGAATGAGTGGAGCCAAAAGAGGATGAAAATACCATTGCATCTTTATTCATAGCCATGCTGAAGAGGCAAAGATGTCAGGACTCACACCTCCCTCTCAGAACCCGGACTCTAACTTAACCCAGTAGGAGACAGGAGTAGAGGTTGGGATTGAAATAGCTCAGATCTGGATTGTCCTCACCATGAGCTTGCCTTACGTTAGTACCAATGGTTTGGTGATGAAGACGCTGGGCACATTTCCATCAATGACCAACTTGTCAGTCTCTTTCAATCTTACCTGTCCAATTAATCTAACCTTCTCTCACGGAGTGGACCAAGTAAGAAAGCAAAAATACAGAGAGAGTGTATTCACTTCTGAATTGTTCCCTCCTGGCAAGTGGTATTCTATCCTTTGGTGGATACTGCTAGTTGTCTACACAATAGCCATGTTAGCACCTTCTTCCTTAGCAACAAAATTCTACTTTTTAAGGATGATAATGTTATCAAGTGAAATGCTAAGTTTCTCAGCCTCCTTTGCAGGCAGGGATGGCTAATAACTTTTCAGTAGCAGTCATACATTAAATAGGTGAAGTATGCATTTGCTTATGCTCACCCCTGTGTCTTCCTGCTGCTTGAAATATGGACAAAATCTTAAGAGCTCTGGTGGCCATCTGGAATTCATGATGCATTATTGAGAATGAAATCTCTAGCTAGACAGGAGAGAAAAAAGATAGACACTGAGTGCTTGATGGCTCAGCACTGTCAAATGAGTCCTGGACTGCCCACCTCTGGATGCCGTTTATGTTGGAGGACAATAAACACTTACATGTTTCAGTCACTGCAATCGGACTTTTGTTACCAGCAGCTGAACTAGTTTGTAAATGATACATTTCTGCTGTGGAAGTGTGAAGGGAGAAAGGGTGCTATGCATCTAAGCTGAGAGTTAATGCTGAGTCAGCCACGGACGTCCTCTCATCTGCCTCATGAGTACAGGGAAACGACCTCCTTTTCCTTCCAAAGATCCACTGGAAGTTCTCCTTGTACTCTCGCTCTTCCTACTTGGAGGGTCACTTACCTGTCTTCTCCCACATGGTTAGAAATGTGAGAGACAACAGTTTACTCCTCCTGATACTCCAAAACTATGTCATCACTTAATCGTTACATAATTCTGTTTGAACATCAATGTTAGCAATACTTGCATGTTTCCAATTTACAACTGATTACAGATTCTGACTAGCTAAGGGTCAGAGTTATAGATTTGAAAGTCACCAACAAATGCATGGTTGTTGAAGTCACCTGAGTCAGAGAGATGCCTCAGGAAGAGCCCAGAAGAGAAGGACACCAAGAACTGAACCTAAAAGAATCTCCACCTTAAGAATGCTTCCTAAAGAGAAAAAAGTAGTCTTGCTAGAAATTAAAACGTCATGATGTGAGGAGATGACAGAGTTGTGGTCTTGTGACAGAAGGACTCACTTTAGGACAGATCTGACACTCAGTTTCAAATTACATCTCTGTTACTGGAATGCAACAGCCCTCAACCCTGCTTCTATTTGTTTAACACTGTGAGAACAAACAATTCCTTAATGTCAACCCAAAACAATATGCAAGATGATCCATCTTTGGTTTGAGACAGAAGTGCAGACCTTCTGAACTTATTTAATGTTGTATTTTCTGTGGGAGCAATAGATGCTCTTATTTGACTGTTACAAGAGCCAAGAAAAGTCACTCTGAGTTTTTATCATGTCAGATCCTCAGTCACAAAGGAACTTCTTTCCAAAAGATCCAAGCCAGTGTCTGATTAAGTCAAACATACCTTCACGGCTACTCACCCCAGTGCCAATATGAAGTGAATGCAGGGAAAGTTATTCTTGGACTTTAATGCATTGATTACATAATTGTTCCTTTCCATTCATATCCTATGCCCTGACTTAGTTCTTGTTCCCACTCATTTATACCAATGGTAATTGGGTTTTTTTCTTTTTCCATATCAAAGTAGATTTACTTTTATCCTTCCTTATTCTTGATTCTTTTCTAATATCCCAAGACCCCCATGGACCTAGACACAGACAGTCCACTGGAGGGTGGGATTCAGCAAGGCCCAGAGGACTGACCAGCAGTAGTTGAGTAAGGTATTAAATCAATTCCAATAAATGAATTAATATATTTAAGATATCTCAAACAGCGCACAAACACATAGTGCAAGCTGAGTAACTGTTAATTGTCATAATTATCATAATCAAGGCATAACCCAGGTATCAAAGTTTTTTTCCTCCAAAGATCTTCTTCCTCTAACAGACTTGGAGAAGATAGAGTTTGTCTCACGTCTCCTGTCGGTCAGCCCTGTGCTGCGAGTGCTTCTCCGCCCTGCTCTCAGCTCTCCCTCAGAATGTCTCCTGGCCACAAGCTGGAGCACCAAGCTCTTCACTGTAGAACAGCAGAACCTTTAGCAGAGTAATTCAGAGTGGTCTTCTGCACTCAAAATCCAGATCCCTTCCAGACTGCCTGAGGGTGGGAAGTGTAATATGACTTCTCTTTCTTTCTGATTCTGTATTGATTAATTGTAATACACACACACACACACACACACACACACACGTTGCCAGAACTGTAAAATCTAAATCCACTTAAAAGAATAAGCAATCTTCCTAAAATCCAATAGTGTGCTCAGTATCTCCAGAGCAAGACAGAGGCCACATTTTACAGATCATGCAAATCTGTGGAGTTCTTCTTTGTTTTTTCTTCAACCTGAGTCTCCAGAGCCAAAGAAATTGGGTCAATTACACAGGATCACTTACCCCTGATTACCATTCCAAGGCCCAGAAGTTTTAAAACTTTGAAATAAAAGATTTGGATTTGATTTACCCTTACACAGCAGAGCACAGAAAATTCTTGCATGAGGGCTTCTCTTATGTACATACATGTATATGAAAAGGAGGGTTTATGATCTTCCTGACCAACCAACCTCCTGAAGGGCTGGAAGATTATATTAGCATTGGCAACAAGGTATCTACCTTTGATCTTTAATAAGTCTGCTCATGTAACTAAAGAGAAAATGTTCCTCAACCTTTATACCATCACCTGCCCCTTGTTCCAGCCAGAAACACTCTTGCTCAGAAAAACTCATTTAGCCTACCAAGAAAAGAATGGAAGGCATGGAGCCTCATCTTACTCATCTCTTGGGCCTAATACAGAGTTCAGTAAACAAAAGGCATTTCTTAGGTGCTAACTCGCATGCAATGAGCCAATCTAAGTGTTGCAAAATAGTATAATCCTCAAGGAGAGTATAGAAAAGAGATTTCCAATTTTTAAAAGTGGAGAGAAGACTCTCTTTGAAGAGAAAGATTAAAATTCCACCTATAGATAGAAAGACACTTGAGTATCATGCTTACCAAGAACCAGTTGCCAGTGATACAGAGAGACCCATTAGAAGGGCACTCTCTTCAGGGTTTTGCCCAGGGCAAGTTTAACATCCTTATTCCTCAAACTGTAGATCAAAGGGTTAAGCATGGGAACCACATTGGTGTAAAAGACTGAGGCAAATCCGCCATAGTTCACAGAGCTGGGAAAAGATGCTGTGAAGTAGGTGAATGCCCCTGACCCAAAAAACAGAGCAACAGCAATTATATGGGAGCTACATGTGCTAAAGGCTTTGGATCTGCCCTCTGCAGAAGGAATACGGAGGATGTTGGAGAGTATCAAAGCGTAAGAGATGACGATGCTTAAGCTGGATAGCGTGATGATTACTCCAACAACAATGAAAAATACCAGCTCATTGATACGTGTGCTGGTGCAGGAGAGCTGCAAGAGGGGGAGAACTTCACACAGATAATGGTCAATGACGTTGGAATCACAGAAGCTCAATCTCAGCATGCTTCCAGTGTGGGCCATGGCCCCAGCAAACCCTACCACGTATGAACCAAACATCAGCAGAAAGCAGATCCTTGGAGACATGGAGACCATGTACAGCAGGGGGTTGCAGATGGCCATATAGCGATCATAGGCCATCGATACCAACACATAGCACTCAGAATTGACGAAGAAACAGAAGAAAAATAGCTGAGTCATGCATCCCACATAAGAGATGATACTTTCTGACACAAAGTCATTCAGCATTTTGGGGGTAAACACACAGGAATAACAGAGATCTATAAAGGACAAATTGAAGAGGAAAAAGTACATGGGGGTGTGAAGGCTCGGATTTATCCCAATTAGGGTGATCAAGCCCAGGTTGCCCACCACAGTGAGCACATAGATCCCTAAGAACAGAAGGAAAAGAGGGAGCTGGAGCTCCGGCTGTTCCGATAATCCCACAAGGATAAACTCAGTCACTGAGGAGCTGTTTCTCAGAGTCATTCTCTCCTGGCGAGTTGTCTGGGGAAACAGAGGGCAAAACACAAGAGTCATGACAGGCATAAGCATGGCTAAGGGAGGAAGGCTCTAGCAGACCAGCCAGTGTGCAGATGCCCTCTCTTCCGTCCTCCCTCATCTACACACCTGCCCACCCTGAGGTATGGACGTGTCTGTGAGAGGATTTCAGCTCTGCTGGGCCGATCATGAATTCAAGCTGGCGTCTCTTACCAAGAATTCTGTCTCTGCTTGAGAGATGAGGAGGGAGACAACACACCTGAATTGGCTGCCCAGGGACTCTCAGAAAGACACCCTGAGAACTAAGAGTACAACCTGGGCCGCTGCCTCAGGTGCTGAGCGATCAGAGCGCTCAAGGTCCCCAGGATGCCCTCCCACTCTCTGCCTCCATCTCCCAACTAGATAGTGGATTTCCATTTGGAGAGAAAGCCAGGAGTTTTCCGTACTGGCTCTGCACATCCCCCCCCACGCCCGCCTCCTCAAAGATCCTCCACTCCATCTCACTTCAGGGTCAGTGTTGAGAGTAGAGACAGGATCCGTGCTTCCCAGAGCCCTCGGTTGCGGGTTTCAAAGAGACCATCAGGAAAGACGGGATTCAGACCTTCACTTTCCTTTTCCTGGGCCCCACTCAGTGCTGGGCCTCACGCCGTCTCCTTTTCCATTAGCCAGAAAGAGAAAATGGTGCTGCTTGTGGAGAAAGCACACAACCTTGCGTATTACCTCTTTTGACTCCCTCGGTGCTGAGAATCAGAGCTTTTACAGACCCCAGGCTTCAAGGTGCTCAAGGAATACACCACGGTTTCTGTTTGTGGATTCTCCCAGATGGTCTCAGCAACTTCAGGAAAGAAAACTAGGGACTCTCATTTTGACCAGAACTCCAGCTGTCATATCACAGAGGAATTTAAGCTGTTTGACGATCTCAGGGAACTGATTAGACACAGTTTCCCCTGGGAATTTCTCCAAGATCTGTCTCTATAGGGAAGGAATTGCACTTTGTTTACAGCCTGGATAACAGTGCTTATCTAGCATCTTGGGAGTGGGGGCTCCACTCAAACTTTCCATCTACTCCAGGGATTTCATGTTACTCAGTGCTGAGTTTGGGAACTCATTTTTCCCTTTCTTATTAACTCTCAGAGCCTAAGCTTGAATTTAAGGATGAATAACCCCAACCTTAGCCACCATCTCCAAATCTTCACAGGGAGCTATGAGAGTAGGACCCCTCAAAAAAGGTCAGATCAGATCTACAGAGAGCACCTCAGACAAAAGGCTTCTTGGACCATGTGCTGCTCAGAACAGAAATCACACCACCTCCACCACAAACACCACCTACTTGCAGCTCTAATAAGGGCCACAGACAGGCCTTTACTATATATGAAGAGATTAAAATATCACAACACATATGCAAGAAAGCACACACACACACACACACACACACACACACACACCCCTACACAGAGTTACTCTCTAGGCATGCAGGCTTAAAGTATAATGGGAGATGGATGTGAGGGTTTAATCCTGCCATTTTTCAGATGACAAAGTTGCTCTCCATATGATCTGCTAGATGAATATTTTAAGAAAAATTCAAAGACATGGGAGCATCTGCATTTGTAAGTTTCACTAAGCTGCCTAAAATAATCCCAGTTCGCCTGGGACGGTCCTGACTTCCACTCTTATCTCTGTATAATTATTAAGAGCATACCCTTTCACTCTCAGAAGCATCTGGGCTTGGATAACAAATTGTATGATCACTGGATAAAAAAAGCAGAAGTAGGCGGGGCGCGGTGGCTCAAGCCTGTGATCCCAGCACTTTGGGAGGTCGAGGCGGGCGGATCACAAGGTCAGGAGATCGAGACCATCCTGGCTAACACGATGAAACCTCGTCTCTACTAAAAAATACAAAAAAAAACTAGCCGGGCGAGGTGGCGGGCGTTTGTAGTTCCAGCTACTCGGGAGGCTGAGGCAGGAGAATGGCGTGAACCCGGGAGGCAGAGCTTGCAGTGAGCTGAGATCCAGCCACTGCGCTCCAGCCTGGGCAACAGAGCTAGACTCCGTCTCAAAAAAAAAAAAAAAAGCAGAAGTATCTTTTCAGGTCCTCTGGCCCCCAATGTCTCGAGACCTAAATCCACTGACTTTCATCCCCTTTTGGACAGTCTCTGTATTTCACCCTCCTTAAGCCCACCTTTCTGGACAACCAATGTTATCTCTTAAGGAGAACCAGTCTTCAAAAATGGGAAAGGCATTAACTGCAAGCTGCTTCTGATTTACACCTAGCCCCAAAATCCTAAAGCAAAGAAGCACAACCCCTAGTTGTCTGCCTAAAATCAGTGAAAAGGAAAAAAAGGGGGGATAGGAATTACCTAGGTATAAGGAACAAATATTAGTACATTGTTGTACACCACTGTATGTGGGAACAGTAAATTGGTTGGCAGTACTTGACAAACTTGGACATATGCATACATTTTGACCCAGTGGCCTACCACTAAGTGTATACTGAATAAAAATAGGTATGCATGTTTACCTAAAGACATGCCAAGATTTTGCACAGCAGCATCGTCCTTCATAGCCACAAACTGAAATCACCCCATCTGTCAGCCAACTGTAGACTGGATAATAAATGGTAGGATGTTAATAAAATAAAATTCCACATAGCCATGAAAGATAATGACATAGATAAATGTCACAAACCAATAGGGAGTGAAAGGAGCCAAGCCCAAAAGCGGGCATATTTTATGATTTCATTTATATACACTTTAGAAACAAGGAAGCTAATCTATGGTGCTAGAAGTCACACAGCACTTCCTCTTGGCTGGGCAGGCAGGGGCTAGTGATTGGAGAAGGATTTGAAGGGTGCTTTAGGGTTGTTGGCAATGTCTGGTTCTGACAGGGGTGCTGGTGACACAGATGTATGCAGTTAGCAAAAATTCATCAAGCTCTATCCTTATGTTACACTTAAATAAAAAGTTTATTTAAAACGTAAGTGGAGAACAAAAAATAAATCATCCTACCAAATTAGTTTAAGACAAAAATTACTCAAAAGCTTTGAGCTATAATTCCCCCATTTGTAAAATGGATATTTACTGCCCTGGCAACTCAGTATAGTAGAACGTGCAAGAAAAATAACACCGTTTATGTTTCTTTTCCATCTTATGTCACTTAAAATTTAAAAAAAAAAAACAAACGTTTTTTAGTATAAAAGGAGGAAATCAAGAGAAAAGAGAATTAATGCATATGGAGCAACTACAGAGTGCCTGGCCTTATGCTGGATATTTTCTGATGTAATATGTTGTTTATAAAGTCTTCAAAAATGGGAAAGGCATTAACTGCAAGCTGCTTCTGATTTACACCTAGCCCCAAAATCGTAAAGCAAAGAAGCACAACCCCTAGTTGTCTGCCTAAAATCAGTGAAAAGGAAAAAAAGGGGGGATAGGAATTACCTAGGTATAAGGAACAAATATTAGTACATTGTTGTACACCACTGTATGTGGGAACAGTAAATTGGTTGGCAGTACTTGACAAACTTGGACATATGCATACATTTTGACCCAGTGGCCTACCACTAAGTGTATACTGAATAAAAATAGGTATGCATGTTTACCTAAAGACATGCCAAGATTTTGCACAGCAGCATCGTCCTTCATAGCCACAAACTGAAATCACCCCATCTGTCAGCCAACTGTAGACTGGATAATAAATGGTAGGATGTTAATAAAATAAAATTCCACATAGCCATGAAAGATAATGACATAGATAAATGTCACAAACCAATAGGGAGTGAAAGGAGCCAAGC